GCCGCAGGTTGCTTTCATTTACATAAGAAATCACTCACAATCCTTCACTTTGACATCTGGCGAGCGCGAGTGCAACAGGAGTAATGAAGTTATGGTTATTGATTGGGTTACATGAACTTCTATGTAACAGCCAGTCACTTGAAAACAGACAGCAAGAGCTTGTGTGGAGTAGAGTCGAGTGAATTTTGACTGGTTTGACAGGTAAAACGTCTGTATTTCAAGTATCCTAACTGCATCCAGGAATAAGCTACATGAGATCCTGTGTATCTGCACACAGTATCATAGTGGCGCTCTGTCACTTACTGCACATAAAGCCTCGACTTGCAAGACTCCAAAGCCTCGTTACCCCCGGCGAGCTTCGGAGTATCTAACAGGTCAAGCCTCTTCCACTTACTCCTGTGTTGTCCCTGTCACTGCTGGCAGCTACTGCTGTGATAACACTGTCATCCTCATGGAGGGGAATCAGAGAGACTTGACCTTGACTGACACAAAAACATGTTTTTTTCTTCTTTTGCAGGAACTATCAAAATAATCATAATGTTAAAGTTAAATTAATCTTAAAGTTATGAAAAACAGTACAGAACTTTTTTTATTTTTTTAGGAAGTAGCGCATAAGAAAAAAAAGGTTGATTCACAGCTAAATATTTCCTGAACAGTAAATCTCACTTTGCGCAAGCATGAGATGTAGATGTATACAAATGCAGATTCTCACTCTTGCCATGTGCTTATTTTCCACTTGATAATGTACCTGCAAGATAAATATAATATATATATATTATACAATAAATAATATATATAATTCCCGTTAAAGATCTTGCTCACCTCTTTCACATGTGCAAGTCACATTATGCCCATCCTTGGTCTCAGTGCACATTAAAGTGTGTTCACTGCAGATTCCAAATGAGCAAAGGTCAATATCCACGGAGCAATCTTTCCCCTTGAATCCTGCAGGCAAAATTGACATCACAATGTAAAAAAAAGAAAAAATTAGCAAAACTTGGGAAACAAGCAATAATCACTGGTCTCACAAAGCTGCAGTAACACACACACACACACACCTTGTAACACACATTTATGCGCATGTACGTTTTATTAGGTAAAGACACCTTTTCTTCAGCAGATTAATGGGGGTATTGATTCCTCCCTGTGCAATCTACCTGCTATGCAGTATGCTAATTGAGTGAATCATTGACAGAGACCCACCCTACCAAACTGATCTATATCACATTTATCTGCCCCACCAAAAGCCCGTCTGCATGTCACTGATAGATACCCATGTCAATATCTATTGTTGTAAATAAAGCACAGACAGATGGTGCGACTGATACATGTGTTTGTACAAATACAGATGACTTAAAGGGAGAATCCTTCAATAGATTACTGTGTATCACATGTGGGTGCCCATTAGTTAATGTGAGAGCGATATAAGAGTTTTTAAAAGAAAAATCTTTCACACATTCAGACTGAAAAAAAAAAAAAAAAAAAAAAAAAATCTTTAAACCAGAAGCCTCTAAACAGGAAGAATGTGCCCATCTCTACATCACATCAATCTGGGTGCAGTCAGTGTCTGCAAAGTAGGTCTCACTCACTGGCAAAGGAGAGGAATATTTCAACACTTCCTAATGCAAATTCCTTCTGTTAAGACACGGATACACACAAAGAGCATTTATATAAGATCATGTAGCACGTTTAGCTGTAAGCACTCTCCATCGTCTTTACATTGTAACCTGTATCCATAGCTGCGCGCTTTACATCAACACATCAGTCTAGATGTTTGATGACCTTCCAACTACCCTTTTCCCATCATATTATATATTGCCTTGACTAGTTAATGGACAGCTATTGCCTCCAACAGAGTGTTTCAGAAGTGTTTAATAACCAATTGTGCATGCAATTCACTCTGAGGTTAATGTTGCATGAAGGAATGTCACATTTACAGTGTCACCATCTCCAAATGGGACTCCCTATTCTGTGTGACAGATACAAGCAGCTCAGCCCCAACTCTGCTGCACAAAGACAGGCCGAAAGTGAAACTCACAGTTTTTCATTTTTTTTTATCTTAAAACGCACATTAACAAGACATACCATAGTGTTTTGTTGAATACATTGCAGCCATTTACTCATGTACTCATGTTCAGTGGTTAATGATAACAGCCATGGGTCATAACTATCCCTTGGCTCTGAGAGCTGCTGTTCATCAGCTTATTTAATCATCTCTCATCAACAACGGCTCTGGTTGCTTCACTGAGCTGAAAAACTGAAAATCATGTTCTTGGATAGAAATCACCAAATTCAGATGTTACTTCGAAGTCAGTTTAATAAATCAAATGAGCGTTACGGTTATGTACGATTAAGAAATCTGGATTTAGTTTGTGTAGTTCATTACCTCAGCTGAAGAGGTTCTGTTTTTTTGGCCTTGTACCTGTGCATTAGTTAGCAGGGTAAATACCCAACAGAAGTCAGTGAAATTTGGTGAAAAAGCAGGCAAAGGGTCAAGGAAGGAGATTAGTTTTCAGTTCTGAGCAAAATCTAATAATGTTCTCCCTCTGTGCTCATGTGTGAAGCACCACTGGAGAAACAACACAAATTTTTTTCCCTGTGTTGCTCATTTTAAGAAAATATAAGCCGATTTTCCAACAATTCAAATGTTTGCTAATCTGTTTCAAAACCGTTCCTCCTAAATTTCATCTTATCTTTGCTATATTTTTGGTTCTTAAATTATTTGGATAAGCCAGTGACAAGGCTCAAAACATTTTCCTGGTGTTGGTACTAGACATCCTGTAGCTGTGGGCTTAGAGAAAATGTCACACTTGCTGAATGTGTTCTGCAGTTGTAAAAAAAAACAAAAAAAAACAAAAACAGCAGCTTTATGAATATAAACGGTACTAACGTCATGGTAATGAGTCTGACTCAGTCGTGACAGGATTTAGGCATTCTCCAAAAACCATGGCTGCCATCAACTTATCAGCACAATTGTCAATCACAGTGTGTGTTGTGATGCAGATTAAACAACCTTGGCAACCTTGGCTGAAGTATCCCTAAGAGTTTTACTGCAAAACAACTGGAAGACACATAAATCTGAAAGCAGGATTGGAAAATAGTGATGGTCTTTTCTAATTCTTTGTTTTTGTTTTGTTTGTTTTTTTGTTTTTTTTGTGTTCTTTGTGAGGAGAAGCAAACAAACCTGACAGACCATTTATCTAATTGAATTTCTGAAATGATAAAGTGATCAAAAACACCTGCCTATAAATCTGTCAATGAAATTACAACAGTAATGGAAGCTTTACTGACACACCGGTGTTCTGTTTTTGCCCAAATCTAATTTGAGCAAAAGGCAGAAAAAAAATAGTAACAGTGATGCATTTGCTGTGTCTGTAATGTCATAAAAACGCACCATGTAACAGGTGCTGTACATGTTTCAAGGCAGTAAATATTTTCATGACCTCACCCTCATTTGTGTTGATTTATTGTGCAGTGAAACAGAGGCATATCTGGTTGAGAAGTAAAACAGAGAACCTAAACATGATGCACAGTAACAACAAAACATTGGTGATATTGTGTCACTACATTAAATTCAAACTTAAGCAGGAAGATAGACTTTCGACACAATACAAATATTACAAACCCAGAATAACCCGTGTAGTTCTTCTGCCTTTGTGAAATATACTAAGAAAATAATTTACCAAAACTGACTCGTTGCCCAGTGGTAGAGTGTATTTTGTGTTCTGTCAACACCTGGGTTTTGTGGATTTTATTTCTCAAATATTTGTCTGTAAATCCTGTTCTGGGGATTGTGGCTGTTTACTATTGAATGTGACATTGGACTTGTAATGCCAAGTGGGCCGGCTGCAGCATTCTGACTTGTGCAATCAAGTGGTGATTAAGTATGTTATTACCAGAGGCCATAGTAAAATCAGCCGCATACTGAAGAATGCAACACCTCCTTCTATTATGAACTGATTATGGATCCTTTCCGGAACACGTTTTATAAAATGTTGAACATATAAAATTTGTAAAACAGGTTGTCACTTGATTGTAGGACAATGCTGAAAACTGAATCTAAGTTTAATTAGGGAAGTCATGTTTACATGCATCAGCACTGAGCAAGACAGAAAACAGTGTTGTTTTCTTAACTGAGGTTGATTTTAAAGGTCCCATATTGTAGAAAGTGAGATGACGATGTCTTTTTTGTTTATAAAGAAGGTCTAGGTGCTACATTAATAATGTGAAAGTCTCACAGAGAAATGCACGCAGCCGGTGTTCAGAAACTGTGTCTTAAAAACATGCCATCAGGACATCTGGAACTTTGTGATGTCACAACACAACAGTCACCACCCTCAGCTACACTCCCAGCACAGCCCACCTGGATCCAGCAGGATTTTATTTCTCCACATTTTTACCTGAAATCTGCTATATTTGTCATTGATCGCTCAGAAAACAGTCAGTCAATCAGAAGAGAGGATCAGAGCCTTTCTTCTGATTGGCTCACCAACCTCTTGTTACCAGAGCTCCAGGGAAAAGCCCTAGAGGAGATGTAAAACTGCACTGATATGTTTTTCGGTATTTAAACCCACAAATATATCTTCTTATGAATATCAACAATTAAAATAAAACAACAGAAAAGTGTAAAATATGGGGCCTTTAACTTTGATTCTTCAAAATAAATGTGAAAAACTAATAGTATTTTATTTTTCTAACCTCTGCCCATTATACAGATTTATTACTTCTGCTTGCTTTGTTTAGAGCTGCTTATTTTCCCCAGTTTCTAGCCTGAATTCAAACTTTTAAAACGTCTAGTGTCTCTGATAATTCCTGTCTTTGCCGTATTTGGAAGTGCATCTTAAACTAAAAGTGATAAATGATCACAGTCAACAAACAGGTTTGTATGTTAATGTATGAAAATAAACTCTTCATGTATTCCCAAGGTACAGTACACAGAAAATGAATAGCATGATATTTTTGTAAACATGCTCAATAATACACAAGTAGTTGGTACTTACCAAAAGGACAATGACAAATGTAGTCATTTATCAGATCCATACACGAGCCTCCATTTAGACAAGGCTGCGACCAGCAATCATTTACATTCTCAGAGCAGGTCCTTCCTACACGATAAAAAGAGAAACAAATAAACTCGACTTAATGCCACCGAGAATGCACTTTAAAATGTTTCTGCTAATAAATCTAGCTGCCACTGAGGACATTTAATGATTATTGGAGGTTTTGATTATTTTTTTAACAATGAGCGGCACCTGGTTTATTAAAGACAGGGTTTCATTTCATTGAGGCAGCTGATTACCTCTGATTCTACTGCCTCAAAATGTGATTGAATGATTACGTGTTCAGCACGTTGTAGTTTGTATGTATGCATAAACGGTGTAACCTCAATTTCAGTGTCCTCTGGGCAAGAGTTAGATATGGAGTTGATTTAATATTTTACTGATAAATTTAAAGCTCCACTAGGCCTGGCCTCTGGCGATATTTCAGACCTCTTAGTTTTCTGATCCAGAGAGTTCAGAGAGAACTAACAGCCTGACTTCTGCAGGCACTGCTGTTAAAATCTGCAATACTGTCTGCACCAAAGGTAATTGTACTTTTGCCATCATGACCCCACACACTGGCAAGCACTCTGTTAATCACACAATGTAAGATCCTCAGATAATTAAGGTAGCTGCTGACTCTACCTCCAGCCCAAATATACTGTACAGGACACTGTCTACTACACACTCTGTGACTGGTATGATACTGAGCCAGCTCCTATTGCCAGCCAGTATTCATTAATTTACCTACTTACACTTTACTGCACCACTGTTCACATCACTCATGGCTAAGATTTACTATGTAGTGGGTAATGCTAACAATCCCACTGTGCTAAATGCGTAAGAAACAGACAAACTATAGTTTTAATATACAAAATCTCATAAGTAACCAATTTTGACGATTCATTTCCAGCTGATTTTGGTGTCATTTCTGATGTAAATTGGTGTTTTTTTAAGTGTTGAACCAGCAGGTTTAAAAATAATCATGACATCAACTACATTGATGTGCAACAGGTAACCTTAACTGAGTTTAAAACATCTGTTAAACATGGCACAGGCGTTATACATTCTCTCATAAATTAGTAAATTAAATAATTCTTCAGGGAAATATATTGCTGCATCCATTATTGCAATGAAATGGGGCAAATAAAATATTTTTATGTTGCTATAAATCTAGTTCTTATGCAAAATAATTTATAAAAAGACTAATATGACTAAGAAAACACACGCGTGCTACATCTTTGAATTTCAATCATTTCTATGTAATCTACAGTATAGTAATTCAAATTTTATATATACTTCCATGTAACTCGGCCTACATATTTTCCCTAATCGCTGTTACATATCAAATTTCAATGTGAAAAGCTTTACCGTGTGAACTTTTCACATTTTCTGGTTCTAACTTCTCAACATTTAAACACTAAAAACCTGCTCTGAAATCTGATATTCCTGTGGCCAGCCACAGTAAAGGCTGTAAATAGACTCTCATTTGCATCAGATGGTCTCATACCCTCAAACCCTGGGGGACAGTGGCACCGATAATCACTGATTAGGTCCACACAGGTGGCACCGCTTGCACAGGGGAAGCTGTTACACTCATTTGTTTCCAGTTCACAGAGCGACCCTTCAAATCCGAGCATGCAGCGGCAGGTGAAGTTATACTGCTGGTCCAGGCAAACACCGTGTTCAGAGCAGTGATGACCAACACAGTAATCAATGTCCTCTTCACAGCGTACGCCTGTGTATCCTCTGGGACAATGGCAGCTAGCAACAGATTAAAGAGAATTTCTTAATACTGTATAGATTAAAAGGAATTCCTCGTACCCTGAAGGAGGAGAACAGTAAATGTCACGGCTTTTGCAATCATTGACATTCTGGTGCCTGAATGGCCGGAAGACAGTTAAGATTTCAACGCTCACCTGTAACCATCAATCCCATCCACACAGGTGGCTCCATTTTGACACCGATGTTGAACACAATCATTGACATTTATACGGCAGTTGTGACCAGACCAACCAGGCGCACAGACACAGGTGTAGCTGCTGGCATTATTCAACACGCAGCGTCCTCCGTTGGCACAGGGCTGTTGATAGAGGATAGATCAGTGAGATACACATCATAAGAGAAACGCTGCTTCATGTGCAAAAAGAGAAATTACTTCATCTTGTACGGTAACATCTTATATTGGACTGAGCACATTCTGGTCTAAAATATAAGCATTATTTTACAATGTAACTTCGAACCATCTCTTGTTCCTGAACGCCTGAAAATGAGCTTCATTACAGCCACATGACACACTCATGAATACCGATTCATGCTTTATACTAGATTCACTCAGTATTCCATGTAGCATCAACATCATGTCTTACAAGACAAGATCAATTGTCATTGAGGGCTAAAGCTCCCAAGAGTTCTGCTTAACAAAAAGACAAGCCTGGTAGTCGGTACATGTGTCGGTACATGTGTATACATACATATATATATATATATATATATAGAGGGTAAACAAAGGGGCAGAGGAAGCACTGGCTTGTGGGAAGGTGTATAATGCAGACATCATGGCATTTCTGTAAGGGGGCCAACACGGGCCTTGCTCCACAGTGAGTGATCATCTCCATCTGTCATGTGAAGAAGCTTCTTTGCTCAGGTTAGGTTGTTTTTGTTATTTTTAAACGCGGAGCGGCGATTCATCCACACACAAAGAATCCTGCGCATTCAAAAATACAGACATTGCGAATCTTAAGCAGCATTCATCCGCGTCAGGTGGCAGAGGCTTTTCAGTCCGCTGTCCCCTTCGTGCATGCCAAAAGGCAAAAAAACCCCCAAAAAAACAAAACCAAAAAAAACCCCTGATAAACAATGACACAATTCCAGCTTTGTCTTCCTCGTCCACGACTGTTTAAAAACCTGGAGGATGTGCAACCACATTCAAAATAATAAAAAAAAAAGAAGAAAAAAGAACAACATAAAAATGTGTTTCAATTATTTAAATATGCAGGATACTGAGAATATACTGCATACTTCAGCTGTTTTTTTTATTAGAGACAGGTAAAGGTCAGAGTCTGTTACTTGATTACATTTGTGTATTGCTTCTTCACACACGTTTCACGCAGCACAATTTCAGGAGTCACAAGGGCACGAGCGGTGAATTCCCTCGTTAGTCAAGAACTGAACACAACTTTCTTCCAGCACACTGTACAGCTTCTGCACCAGCTGACTGCTGTGTTTATGGATTATCACATTTGCTGTCAGTCTTCCTGTGGGACTTATGCTCATGTATATCCCCGAGTAACAACAAAGGATTAACCCACGTTTTATGAATAACATACTGAATTAATATCGGATACCTTCTCACTTAAGTTCTCAATGTTCAAGTTCGGTTTGTTGTGACACTTTGCAAATCTCTTAAGAGGTTACTATACTAGTCTCTAATGCAACATATGAACAAGAGTGTTTTAACCCATGAGAGACAGCGCGTCCCGCATATGTATTCAATTATGGGTTGATTAACTTCAAAATACATCCATAATGTACAATCCGGTGAGTTCTATGTCAGTCCTGTGCTCTTACACAACAAAAACAATCAGTATGTAAACCCCTTTAAAAAAAATTGGCTAGAGAATTACATAAAACCTGATTCATTTGCTTGCTATGGTTCCCTGCTGTTGTAGTAATGCTGCTGCACTGTTGTAGAGAATACATAGAAAGAGCTTGAAGAGAAACAAACAGAGGATTGTGAGCTCTTTAAACATGTATGAGCCTTAAGAGGAATAGTTAACATGTGGATACAGAATAGCAGATGAGGACAAATAGTCCATTAAGATGTTTTTACCCACTTGAAAGTTTCGAGGGCAGGCGACACGGCAGGTGTATTCGAGACCGTCTGGGAGATCCAAACACTGAGTCTTTGGTGGACACGTGTTGTTGGGCAGCGCACAAGCATCTATGTCGACTTCACAATTCGTTCCCAGAAAACCTGCAGGAAAAGATTTCATAGTTAATGCAACTGATGCAACACTGAGCCAGCAGAAAGTAGATCTGTAATCAGTGCCGCAATCCCATCTCTAATTTATGTCTCTGTACCAGGCCAGCAGCTCTATATATTTAATAAACAAGGCCAAAATTGGGCCAATTGTGGGTCGTCTGGAGGACTGGCCCCATTTTGAAGCGTAGTCAATGTGCCACAGTGCCTCCCTGAATTTCTATTTAACTTGAGCCTCAGTTTAACTTTATCTCTAGTTTGAATAGGCAAACTTTAGTATTGTGCTTCCTATTTTTCCCATCTAATCCCTCCTCTTCTTGCCTCTCTGGTTTTAATACTTGTGTTTCTGTAACAATTATCAGACTTTGTGGTCGACATTTTGTCATGTCCCTAAAAGGAAAACCCTGATTACTAGGAATTGGACATAATGTCTAATGTTTTTCTCCCAGATATGATACATTTGGCATCACCTATAGTTGAATTAACCATAAGATAAGAGAAATTAATTCTGCAAGCTTTAGGAAAGTCAAGACTGCATTCATTTGGCTTTATACATGTACTGTTGCTGAGGACATGTGTTATTGAGATGGTACAATATAATATATTCAGTGGCAGGCAGGGCTTAGAAAATGGAATAGACCAAAGACTTATAATTCCACCCATGTCTTAAGACTTTGGTCTTAAGACTTTGGTCTTAAAACACGTGGTCCAGAACTCAACGGACTATTTCCCGACGTTGTAGAAACCACTTCACCATGAGAAGATGCAGCAGATGAGGCATATGAGCGGAAGAGGCTTACGTTTACTGAGATAACAGATGAGATTTAGTAGCAAGGCTGGAAAGCCAGCATATGCCCTGTGGAATTTCGTTACCATGGATCTGTGGCCACATCTAGTACCAGTTTACTCAGGGAGTTAGGGATTCATGATCGGGGATTACGGCAGGCTGCAAAGGCAGCTTCAGAGGAAACTGAAAAGAGCAAGCAAGGGCCCTGGCTAAAAAGAAAAGGCACCAGCTTGTGTGCAGAGGATGGGTCTCTATCTAGTGTTAAAGATGGGAGATACGATTATACAGATATGTATAATCATCTTACACCTTTAAGAGCTTTTTAGCATAGGTCCACAATGTGCAATTCTACGCTCACTGTTGAGTGAGAGCATAAATCCAGTCATGTATGTTCCTAAATGCTCAGACAGGCCAGTGCGGATGAGTACAGTCCTGATCCATGCTCGGAGCAGGTGCAACGGGGGCGGCACACGGTAACTGTTGAGCCTTCTGGGGTGTCGTGGGTCTAATTCAACTTGACATCTGTGATGGGAGGTTCCCCCTTGATAACCCCAGTGACATAGCCATCAGCCCACCCCCTCAGTCTTCAAACAGCACAGCCAGATTTCCACAGCCATGCTCACCCAAAAAAAAAAAGCACAAGGGACAGTTACATAAGATCTGTTTTATCAGGGAATGTGTTAAAGGAAAAAAAAAAAAGAAAGAAAAAAAAAGCTGACTTTTGTCGTATAAATGGTCATCTTCAAATGTTTCTGCTTGGACTGGCTGAACACTGTCATTTCAATTTTGTTTTTTGTTTTTTTTGTTATTTTTTGTAGGATCAGCATTAGAATCACCAACACAGCTGATATAAAGCCGTCTTTGTGAGATGTTTTCCCTACTCAGTAAATTCCTATTTGTAACTAAAGCAGGATTAAGTTTCTTATTATTGCATTATCAGTTGTTATTCCGAAAGGACCTGGGTTTGAACCTGCTGGTCTTTGTGAGTCTGCAAGTTCTCCTTGTGTCTGTAAGGATATCCTCCAGTTTCCTCCCTGAGTTCAAAGACATGCCAGTTAAGTGAACTGGAAACTCTAAATTCCCTGTAGGTACGACTTTGTTTTTCTGTCAGTGTGTGAGCCACGAGACAGACTGGCAGCCTGTCCAGGGAGTGCCCCATGTCTCACCCGATGGATGGATGGATGGATGGATGGATGGATGGATGGATCATTCACAGTCCTATATAAAGTTGCACCTCAGACACTTCAAGGGCTGACCCAATTCATCAGTTGATGAAAACACAATGCCACCATTGAATATCACCTTAAATAGTGACTCTAACGTGCCTTGCTTTAAGCAACTGATGAGGCAAAGGGACTCTGTGACCCATGTGTCATTAACACTGGTATCGTCCTTTAATGTTTAATTGGACAAGAGTGAACAAACATAATGTTTCATTACCATCCATGTTCCATTTCCCCAAAGAGACAAATTATTTGCTGAGAACAACAGCTAAAAATAACAGTTGCAAATTCTTGTAAGAAAAACATCCCATGGCCTCCAAGATGCTCTGCCCACAGTTTCTTTGGTCTGTATGTGCAGTATAATGTTCCGGTAAAGTGGGTAAGAGCAATTGCCAGGCACACTGACTGTGCCGTGCCAACAACAGAGACCTCCTGCGTGTGGTCCATCAGTGTACGTTCAGTGAATGTAAATTTAGACACAGCCGGCGAGGCACAATAAGCAATTACAGGAAAATTATATTAATGGGAGTTTCATAATATAATATTTGCACAATTTGGTTGCATTATTGAGCTCTGGCAATGAGCTTGGTGATTACTCTGAGCTGTCAATCACAGGCCAAGACTGTAAACTGATACTGTGAATAATGCGACTAAGCCTTGTTGCCTCTGTGCTGCACAACGTGGGATGTTTTGATCAGTATTTTTCTGAGAGGTAAGCTCTTTTGTAACTGCTTATTCATGACTTTGCTTCATAATAAAAGGCATTTACTTAAACATGTCAGGAAGTAGGAAAAACATAATTTGACCCTTTATTCATTAAATGGGGAAAAAAATAGAAAAAATATTTTGTGTTAACAGAGTATAAGTAAAAACTATGATTCATGTAATGAATTAATTCATTCTGACTTCTTTCACCTGATGTCCATAGGCATGATGTGTCACAGTCTAGAGAAGCCTGCTGGCAAAGGCCAATCACCTTTAGTTCTCAGCGTACAGTGAAACAGCCGGAGGGGTCCTGGCTGACGATCTTTCACCACATTCACTGCATAGAAGTTTAAAAGGTCTACAATGCTGCCTGCTAACCACAGCAACAACACTGTGATATCACTTACACATTATTACAAAGCTCCAGTTATGGACAAAGCCCAACATACCTGTAGGACATTGGCATTTGTAGCGTCCTAGTAAATCAGAGCATGTGCCGTTGTGCTGACAGGGGCCGGAGTCGCACTCGTTGATCTCAGTCTCACATTTTGTTCCTGTGAACAAAAGCAAACAAAAAAAAAAAAAAATACTGCAATTAGCTGCATCTGAAGTGCATCCCTATCCTCACACAGAGGATGAGTCGTATAACTGTGCATTGAATTGTTGTTGGGAAATACATTTATTTACTTTCCAAGAGTCAAACGTAATCATGCCACCCTCTCAACAGATAAATTTATTCTTAGCATATGGATTTTTGGCCAAAAGGCAAAAATAAATTTGCCTACCAACAATTGTAAAGTACAGTAATTAACACGTATCTCGTTTGTTTCATCTGCAGGAAACCCTCAGTGTAGAAATGCACAAGAAAGTAGTGTTTTTTTACGAGGGTTATGTGCTGCACTGTCTCTTCAGCCAGGTTAGCCGTTTCCCCCTGCTACCTGTCTTTATGCTAAGCTAAACTGACTGGCTGCTGGCATTACCTACATATTTACATATTAGTGGTATAGGTGTAACAGTAATTTTGTTCTTTCATCAAGAAAATAAATAAACATACTTCCCAAAATGTTCATTGCCTACAACTGTCTGATCCCCTTTTCTCCTGAAACAATAATTAGGCCACAAACATTCCTTTACAAAAATGCTGTAGGATGCAGGCGGCGATCCCCTGGGAAAGCCAACAGAGATTTCATGGGTGGACTGGACTGGTGGACTCACTTTCTTGTTAAGAAAATGGACACTTAATAATGAGCTTTGTCTTGGCTGAAGGGAGCAAATGAGGTGGGGGATGTGGGTTGCTTGATAGGAGATTGGCTTGGTGCTCAGCCGCCTCAGCAGCTGCTAACTCTACCACTGTGGTTGGGGGTGGGTGTCTTCCAGCGCAGGTTATTAATTTCAAATGTCCTATCATCAATAACAGAGGAGCAATGACATGTAGAGAAAGTCCCTTCTTGACAGCGGCAACCTCATGCTACAGCACAAACACTATGATTGATGTGATCTGCACAGTATCTGCTACAGGTCGTTATATACAAAATATGCCACGCCGTGCAGTAGCAAACTATACAAATTTGTCCTGCTAAAGTCTGAGAAACGCCTACACTCATTTATGGCTGTGCATGAAATCAATTATGTAGTGTTGTAGCCTCTTTTAATGAAATGTTACTGATATGAAATAGGGTTTTTGTTTAATATGTTTATTTAGCAACATCTGAAAAAGTCTAAAATGTTCAAAAATAAAAAATGATATTGAAGGTCAATGTGAATTGAAGAATCTTTTGTTGGCTTATGTTGGCAAAACTCTTCCAGCTCTTGAGCACAATCATTATTCATCTACAGGTCCCTTTAGGCCAGAGGATTCCTATTTGCTAGATAAAAGGTTTAAATGCAAAGACCCTGTTTATTTGAGGTGAAAAATTACAGATGGTTTCACAATTTGTCCTTTACGCACAAACCTGGATCCTCAGTAGATTTGAACTTTTTACTGCATAAAGCATTACACTGCATTTCATTTTATTATCATGTACACAATTAAAAGAGAATGAGGATGCGTATGAATGAGGCCGACAAAATATATGCCAAGAGTTTGTTGGTCTGTGAAAAATAAAGCCTTCGAAAATGAAACCCGAATGCCGAGGCTCGGGTAATGTATCCTGAGTTATGATCTGTGATAGAGTACTGTGGGGTTTCTGGGCAAAGCTCGAAATTAAATTGGCCTTTCTATGCTGCATGGCTCGAAATTCCAAAGCGAAAATCCCAAGATGCCAGAAAATGATGAATTCTATCAGTCACTAAGACCCGCCATGGTGTAAGAGACAATTTTCCATTACTGAAGTGGCAACAGATTTGAGCTTTGAACAGAGGGAAAAAATCTTGTTCATGTAGTGCTATGTAAGGGCTTATCTGACTGACAGGTGAGTGTGTCAGGACTTAAGGCTAGATGGTGAAAATATGCTATAGGCCAAAACCTGAGAGCACTGGGGAAGGAAGAAAAAAAAAAATCATATTCACTGGTTGTTTAAGCAATAAAACAAGGGGAGAACAATGCTGTGCTATACCATCCTAACCCTTATACGGCATAAACAATGTTCAGCGAGCATCACAATCGGCGTTGTTCCAAACTGTCCATTTTTTTTGTTAAATAATGTTTAATATAGAGAATGTAGCGAAATTTAAATAGAGGTGTTGAACATATTGTACAGAAGGAATTAAGTTGAGATAAGCAATGTGTCAAACATTTGAAGCAGAAACAAGTGATTTTCTATCTCTGCTAGATAGAAAATCACAGTAGCATTTAGCTTATTTGAAGGTACAGTCCAGACTGTAAGTATGTCTTGCTCTCCAGGCTCTGAGCTCCAGTGCATTCAATTTGAAATAAAATAATGGACACTATATTAAAGTGCCAAGTCTCAGCTTTAATTTGAGTAAGTTTTACGTGACTATGGAAGGAGCTGTGTGGAAGATATGGCCCTTTTAACAGAGAAGTGCCCAAACTGTAAGGGTTTAAAATAATTGGACACTTGGCTACTAAATGTTTCTGGGGCAGCTGTGTGTCGTTTTAAAGTCAGTTCATGCACAAAAGAGCTCACGGAGTTGACTGCGCGTTGACTGAGAGTTGAGACTTGCCCTTTAGATTGAGGTGGAGTTGCCTGCCAATAGGAGGCGGAAAGAGGTGACCATGCAAGTCAGGAAAATAATAATGGAGGTTCAAAAAAGAAACAGTCTATGAGAGATGTTTCAAAGATAGTTGTTTTGCCAAAGTCAAAAGATGGGTATGTTCTTCAAAAAAAAAAAAAAAAAAAAAGCAGGTTTGCAAAGGAAAACGAGCTGGTCGACCACAGAGCAATAGTCCTTTGGACAAGCGGGTAATCATTTTCATGGTGAAGAAAAGCACCTTTATGACTTCACAGCAAGTCAAAAATGCTCTCCAGCACGTGGGTGTAAATGTTTCCATGTCAACAATCAAGACAACAATATGCAAACCCCCGGTAAGCCTCAAACACAGAGAGGACAGGCTGCAATTCACAAAAACATATGAAAAGAAACCGGTGGAGCTGTGGAACAAAGTTCTATGGACTGATGGAACAAAAAAAAAACAACAAAAAAAAACAACCTCAATCAAAATGATGAAAGTGTGGAGAAAAATCGGAACAGCCCATGAACCAAAGCCACCGCCTCATCTTTCAAACACGGTGCTGGTTCTGTTATGGCTTGGGCTGTATGGCTGCCAATGGAACTGGCACATTGGCATTTATTGATGATTTCACTGCTGATGGAAGCAGCAGGATGAATGCAGAGGTACACAGAAGCATTCTGCGCTCAGACTCAGCCAAATGCATCAAAACTCATTGGACGACACTTTATCATTCAGCGGGATGGCATTCCTAAACATACAGCCAAGGGAGAAGGGGTGGAATACCCTCGACTGGCCGAGTCAGTCAGCTGATCTCAGTCCAGTTGAGCTGCATTTCACTAACTGAAGACCAGACTCATGGCAGAGAGACCCCACAATGAGCAAGAGCTGAAGGTGGCTGCAGAGAAAACCAGGGAAGATTCAAAGTATCTTCTAATGTCTATGGGTCGAAGATTTCAGTCAGCAAAGCATTTTACACAAAATATTACATATAATTACTTTTAGCCCCCTAAACGTTAGGCACCATGTGTTAAAAGGGCTATATTTCCAACATGGTTCTTCATATATTGATGTAAACCTTCTCAGATTAAAGCTGAGACTTTCCATATTAATGTGGTATCCATCATTTCATTTCAAAATAGATGTGCTTACTTACAGAGCGTGAAGAACAGATAATGAGTAACTGTCCAAATATTTATATATATACGGTATATGTATGTATATAACTATGTTTTTTCTTATTTCTGCACTTTTCCCTGGCAGGTCTTGAATCAATGACTGTTTCTTTTCTGTTTCTATTAATTTGTTCCGTCTTTTAAAGCATGGTAAATGAAGAAGGTCACACTTTTTTCCCCCCTTAAATCTCATATTGTGTAACAACCTCTTTTGTTTTTGTATCTCTTATTCACTTGTTCCCTTTTTTTTTTCTTTTTTTTTTTTAAGAACAGTTGTCATTGATAGCTTAACAAGTTTTGGCCATGTTCTGAGCTGGCAGCTAATTAGGGAGCTGTTTGCCAGAGTATTTGGATTAAATACAATAGGCAGCAGGCCTTAGAAATGTCAAGCAGGCAAAGCTACTGGTAAATAAGCTTCAAGGTTAAAAAAAAAAAAAAAAAAAAAAAAAATTACTTCATCAAGCGAACTGGCCTTTGTTTAAAATCTGTGAGTTGGCTCGTGATTTAAACATCACAACCAACCAAAGATCTGGCCTGGAAGAGTCATTGTGGATGGTTGTCTCTGTGTTTGTCTCGTTGGATTTAGACAAACAAAGACAAATCTTTCGCCTCTACATCAGACTCACTCTTTCTCGCGGTTGCATATGCAATAAATAAACAAGAACTACTATTAATAACACATGTATTGATCACTGGAGGGCGTTTCTGTTTTTCCTTGTCCACCTTCTCAGAGGTGGTCAGAGGTCAGAGGTCACACTGGAACAGAAGCTGTGATTCAGTCTTTTGAGACATTAATCAAAGCGGTTCCTTGCAGACATGGCAGCTTGAACCTAAACCTGATGATTAAAGGCTGGCCTCCCCTTTTGCTATGTTGCCCTGCTGAACCATGTACAGTATTAGAGGTCATTGAATGAACCCTAATGTGATGAACTCTCCCAAAACAAACCGCTCTAAAACAAGATGGGTTACTAGACAAAGAAACTATGGTGTTGCTAGAGAACAGGCCGCAGCTACGGGGATATCAGCAAACACTACCATGAGCGTTTTTGCAGATGCAAATGAAAAGATGAAACTTAGCTTTAAGATAACTCAAGCTAACTTAAGACAATACATCAAATGGTAACATCTACGTTTAATATTGTACATGGTCCCTTACAAAGGAAACAAAATTAAATTGTTGTCTTGGGACACTGCAGAGTGGATGATAATGCTTTTATCTTGTTCATTTGTCTTTAAATTGAACATCATCCACTGTAGGAGCAGAAAATGTGAACAATTTCTAAAGCTCCTTAAATTTTTCATCTAAACATCAAATATGGCTCCAGGTTATATATAAATCTAGCCTTTACATGTAAACTACCCTGATTATATAATAGCAATCCCACTGAAAATCAACAACTCACTATTACACTGCAAAACACAGTTAGGCAGACTGTCAAAAACAAAATGGTGTCAGCTCAAATTAAAAAAAAATTTAAAAAAGCAGATGCTCCCAGTGCAGAAGCTAACCAAAGTGAGCGATAAGCTACCTAGCCTACCTGAGCAGAAAGGAATGGCAGCGACTTGAAGTAAATTAGTTACTAGTAGAACAACTAGGGCTGAAACACCAGTAAATACTGATTTTACATTCACCTGTTTGCTCATGTTGCTCTGTCTCTCTTAGATGTGTAAAAAAAAAAAAAAAAAATTTACAAACGCAAGGTTCTGTGAACTGGTTTTGATCAAAAAAGGGTTTAATGCAGCCTTAATGTTTGTATGTAGTCAGTTTAATCATGTCAGCCAGTGTAATCCATGGTTAATGGTGGATTAAACTGACTACAAACTGATAATGCCTCAGATTAAATTTTTCACTTTTATGTAAGATATGAGAATGAGGCCTTTCGATAATGACAAAATGGCAGCAAAGAAGGCATTTCTTCTGCCTAGCTTTTTAAATGACTTAAATTTACCAGCAAATCAGAAAACAGTATTTTCTGTGAGCATAGAATGAATGTATTTGTTCTAGCATGATATGAATTATGCACGTTTGATGGAATACATGAGTTTGTCATGACTTGTCTCTTGATTTTAAGCCATTTCATGCCATCTGCCTTAAAACACCAACAAAAGGCAAAACAGAAATATTTATAATTTATGGGTAGCTCTCAGCATGAGAGATCTCTGTGTCAAATGTCTTGCATTCAGACAGCGCACCGTCTTAAAGGAGTAAAATATTCAGAAAGTGACTGCTTTCACTACCTGTGTTGCATGTCTGCTTCACATGCTTGCATGGCATTAAGCACACATTGCATTCTCATGATGTTTACATAACGACAAAGTCTGTAAATGTCAGAACAGAAAACAATCCTCTGCCAATAGCATGTAACTGTCAAGCTATGCCAGCACCACGTCAGATTATCCCCGAACATTAATCAGTCATCCCTTGCCCCACAACCAACCTTCCCACAAGGGTTGGTATAAATCAATCCATATTTGGAGACATCCTGCCAAACACACAGATGGACAGACAGATGGAAAGAGGAGCAAAAACACACAATAAAGTAAAGTTATCTCTCACCTGTGAAGCCGGGGAGGCATTTGCAGGTGTACTGTGGGGGAGATGACGGCTGACTAGTTGTAATGCACGTGGCTCCGTTCAAGCAGCTGTTTGGTTTCATCAAGCAGGCATTGCCCACATATTGACAAAACTCTCCGATCCATCCTGGGGTACAAACACACTGCAGGAAAACAGAACAACATTCAAGTGATCAGTGGTACAGCATATATTAATTATCAGCCGATACCAACAAAATATTTTCACACAGAGGACTATGTATTACAGTTTGTGTCTATGTGTTTTTTAATTGTTTTTGCTCTACTCCAGGACATTGGATTTCTAATCAAACAATGACTATGAGGGTTAAATTGTTGACTTTCACTTTTAAGGGTGTTTGGTAATATTTCCTCTATACTGGGTGAACACTGTAGGAATCTCATCCCTTTTTTTCCCCCCTTGTTGCCATGAATAAAAATGGCAACACTTTGTACACAGTTCATCTGATGTGGCTGTAAACACCCTCAAATAAAAAGGGGTCAGTTCACCCAAACTACAAAAAGCTCTACTCTCTCATCTACCTCAAGTGATATCCACCCACGCAGAGAGGTTTAATTTGATTTGTTCAGGTTGTGAGATATTCTCCTCTGAGATATCTGCCATTACCTCAAAAAGATGGAGATAAATGGAGATTGTAGTGGTCACAGCATTTTGAAAATGACGTTTAATTTCCACAGACGGTGCCCCTGTTGTTCTGGATAATCTAGATAATTGTTGGGTGTTATTTCTTCGGTAAAAAGTAGTTTAAACGGAAATGATTGGTGGACTATCCTGAATGGCCAAGGACATTTTTAAATAATTATTTCTAAATGCTGAGATCACCACAAATGAAACTGAATTTAAAAATCTCAGAGATGGATATTGCGAGACAACATGAATCCAAACCTTTCAGCCTGGTTAGATACTGTGCCATTACGGGTGTTGTAGGTGAGAAAATCGTTTTTCTCTAATGTGAGTGAACTGACCCCTTTTCAACTAGAAAATCAGCACTAATTAATTAACCTCAGACATTTTTTCCACTTTAAAATCCAATGTGCTGGAGTAGGCTGCAGAGCCGAAGAGAAAAACTGTCCTAAATGACTGCTCTGTATATCTACCAATAAAATCAACTTAATGCAACCTCTGGTTCTATCCCGTCTGTTCGGAGCATCTTCACGACGGAGGGAATAAAATGAGCAGCCCGCTCTTAACAAACTACCCAATGGTTTTTCTTGCTCAAAGGAAAATCACATAAAAATATAAATAAAAACATAAAAAGAAAAAAAGGCCCATCTGAAGTGAGCAACGCTTTCTGATTATGTCTGACCCCGGCTGGAGGCGCATCAACAACGGAGCATCTAAGAGTGGATTTTAGATTAAGAACACTCTCAGTGGTCTAATGGAACAAGACTGATGGAGAATAATTAGGAGCTATGGGGCATTACGGAGCAGTCTCAGGTGTTGTAAAAAATACAGACATTTGAGGAGAGTGAGCAATAGAGAGGCAAATTAGACCAGAACCTGCCTGTCTGAGCAAAGCATCCACATACTCACAATGATTAATGGGTTAGAATTGGATTACCGCTGTCCGTAGACATATTCTACCAGTGACGTTTCTGTTATTCTCTTTGTTTTTTTTTTTTTTTATTTCAATTAATGATGGGTTTTCTTCAAGTATAGAACTTTGGAGACCAAAGATGGAGAGCTCTTTCATGCTGTGACATGCTGTATATTTATGATAAAAACTCGATATGTTCAATGAACCATATCTGTCTAGTTACAGTCTAATGTTTAAATTTTTATGTATTCAAAGACAAACGGGAACGTTCCGTCAGTAGCTGCCAGTCTGAAGCATTTGTGAGTAAAATCATCGTCATTAAAAGAGATAATTTCGTCTTCGTAAAAAACATCTTTAAAAAATTACGTGTTGAGAAAGCTGTGAAAAAGCATTCCGGTATTTATCATATAGCAGAGCCATACTCACAAATCGGCTAAGCCTCGCACTGCATACAATCATATGCAGTAATAAAGAATGGACGGCTCTCATTATGACATTTTTATCTTGAAGTCAGAGCTCTATCAGCGCTCTGCACAAATGTGTTCACCCTCTGTTCGTACTGTAACCCCCATTAAGGTTCAGGGTGAGTCATATTTTGTGGGCTTGAGAGTATTTCATTAAGACTGAAACATTGAATTACTTACCTGATATCCGCCAATTACACTCAAGCACAATCCCTCATTTAGGCAGTTGATATTGAGCAGCCTGCAGTAGTCAATTATTTCTTCACAGTTCTTCCCAGAAAACCCTCTCAGACATCTGTTGGGAGGAGGTCAGTGTCATCAAAATCAATTCACCCTGAGCCTTGAGCACTAACAAGCCATATTTTTTTTTTTTTGCAAGATGTATGGGGGTTATAATTTTGTTTTCTACACGACTTGTTTGTGATACGGACCTGAGCGAGATAGTGTGTGCCAATTAGACCTCCAGTCTTTTTCTCACAGATTATACTTTCTTACAACTGCAAAATACGCACTTGTTATTTCAATGATCGCACTGTCGAATATACTCTTCGCTTCATTAACTTCCCTGATAATTTTCATATACTGTCTTTTTGATTTTCAATGTAAGAGCTGTCAAATTGAGAAGAACTAAATTGTCCCCCAGGTCGCAGGACACAATCTGCAACATTCAGATACTGTATTTCCATTATTATTTTTAAAAAAAGCACAGTGAGCTGAAGCAAGTACTTTAAACTAATCAGTCTTGTGATCTGCTACAGTGTAATAACTGGATTTAAAAGACATCAGACATAAGACAGAGCGGCAGTCGAAAAAGTAGATGTTTAAAAATCTTTACAACACATTTTCAATAAGAGTTGCCCAGTGTTATTTTTTAATTTAACAGGATAATGCTGATTGACGCATTAGTCCATGTCTCTCTTTTCAACCTCCCTACCCTGTCTGTGTCTGTTGTTTCTACTGACAATATGGATTTTGAATGGCTCACCAGGGTATATCGATTTTTATTCTTATATTATATTGTTTTTTTTTTTTTTTTAATAAAAAAGGTAAAAGATTTGTAATTTCCTAAAACACCTGGGCACTGTAGCATTTAGAAAACGCTACTCAAACTCGGGTAAATTGATTTACGGGGACTATTTTCAGCTGTGGATGAATACACAAGTCAGTATACACAGCTCCAGAATGGTGAATGCAGGATTACACCAGAGTAATACACAGAACCCGTCTTCGTGACAACAAGTCATCCAGTTTAACAGTGCGGCACAGGGATGTGTCTAATAGTTGCCGACTTAGGATATATAGATAATACTTGTGAGTCGGATCAGTTGGTCACTTTACGTGGGACTGGTTGACATTAAGAAACAAGAAGAAGAAAAAGAAGAAAAATAATAAAAGATCCATATTTATTCACTCACAGTGGGGCACACATCCACAAGACATCCCAATCATCTAGAGAGGGGACTATGAGAGTGGCCTCTATTAGATCCCTCTTTGTGTTTTACCTGCAGACATAGTCATTTCCCCTGGACACGCAGGTGGCATTGTTGAGACATGGTGATGGGATGCACAGGTTCTGCTGCCTCCTGCATGCTGGGACCACATTACCATCTGCACAGACACATTCAGAGGCCTGCATACAGAGGCAAAACAAACCAGGTCACCTCTCAGCTTGGGAAAACAGGGTTAGATTGCACAAAAAGCCCATCGGCCCATTATCAATAATAGAACGATTCACTGAAAGTGATAAAAATTTGTGCCTTGATTGACTCATTATTTGTTACTGATATCCACAATTAGATAGAGAAATCTAACTAGGCAAGTAAATAATGGGCTTTATATGCCTTGTAATGAGTTATAGATATTATGAGGCTAATAAACGCTAATGTTCTTGTAATTCAAAGTTAAAAGGATTTGAATTTCAAATTAAGCTTATGGAAAATAAATATCTATGTCAAGCAGCAGCAATATCAGGCATTATTTTGATAAATGTCCCTTTTAGCCTGCTCTACTCTAGTATTCTTAGGTGGGTTGTGAATATGTGTAGCGCACTTGGCAAACTGTAATGAACAAAACAAAGGTCAGAAAAAGACAATTAGACCATTACTGCATTTTCTCTAGTGTATCCTCTAGAAACATTAGGAACACTACTGCCTCTGCAAAATGTATGACCACAATAACATTTCCAGTGAAAGGTGAAAATTGCAGCAGGCATCCAATTACAAAAAGCTTTTGATGAGAGTCATTTCAAACTGGCACTTAAATATGCGGTGGGACATGCAATCAAAAAGCTAGAGGAGGCAAACCCTCTTTCCCTTAGCTCATCTTCGGGAGGAAATATTAATTGCTGTTGCAGCCTTCAGACTGAAGCCATTTGATCTTGTTTTAAGACACTATATTAATTTTCATGTGCCATTTCTTGTTTATGTCCCACCGAGATAAAACAAATAAGGGAAATTAAGTCCTCACACGCTCCCCTGCATTGCAAATTTGTTCCTCTTGACATGAATATGACATGCAATCGAAGTCAACTCTGGAGTCACAGAAGAGGCCCCCGAATCCTTCCGGACAATGACATACAAATCCTGTGGGGCTCTCCTCGCACAAGCCGCCATTTCTGCATGGATTTGGATGACAGGGGGCGCTCTCCTTCGCACAAGGTGGACCTGAAAGACAGACGGTACAACAAAACTATTAAAACACCAAGAGGCTAAAACGGAAAGTAACGCTGGATATGTGTGAAATGGCCTCAAGGTAATTCGTCCAAGTTTCTGCCTGAAAAGAGATGACTGACATGACATATAATCAGTGGAGGGAGGAGTGATTGACGCGCCGTATTTATAATTACACAGGAGAGGGGCAGGTGCTGGGCCGTCCCCTGTCATTACGCATGTATACAATTTAAGCAAATATTCTCACAATTAAACTAACTGCACACAGTGTCACCGTTGCTGTCAGAATTTTATCTTCGCATAACTGACGCCTACAGATACCATCACATTTAACACCAGCACACCAAACCAATTAGAAGATAATTAAAACTACCATGATTTTACCCAGCTGATAGGAATAATATTTACATCAAGATACGGCAAAGGCTAACTGACGAAGCGAATTGCCTCTACGGCAAGTTCTTCAGCTCTTTGATGCGCAAATAGTGTATTTTATTAAACAGAGAACAACCTGGCGGCCCTGTGTTGCCAGTGTTTGTGCCTGATAAAATAGCATCATTAATCTTCGCTCATTTCACCTGAGAGACGCCGAATGTGGAGTAAAAGAACACTGCGAGTGTCCTCAAAAGCGGAGTAAAGAAATGATTAGGTTTTTCGACTCGCCCTAAAAGTGCATGGTTTTCTCTGAAAGCTATAAACCGGGAGATGAGTGTGTGCCCTCCATGTGTTATTGCTGCTTAGTCCCTCGGATGGACGACCGCCTCCACCTCAGGGTGCTGTGTTTAGCGGTTAAAGTTGGTGCCAGTGCTGCATGAGAATTTAGCCATCCAGTGAAGTCTACACATAGCATCAATACTAAAAAAGAAAAAAAAAGAAAAAAAAAAAAATGAGCATTTGGGTCAGCACCATCATCTGTGATGCCAGTTGTCTGTTAAGTGACGGTACAGTAACACACTTGCAATATAACAAAGTAATGCGACGTGTGCCTCTGATCTGTGTCATGATCCTTGTAAGAAAACTGTTCGCTGAGGATTTCAGTTGTTATTTATACTTCAAGGTTCCTGCAAGTTGAAAAGGGGAAAGTCATATTTCTATTTTTGAGGGAAAATGTTTGTTTTTTCTTTTTCCTGAAATTACTGTTTAATATACAACAACATATATACAAGAGGCCAAATAGTCTATTTATGTATGTATGCTGCCGTTTCAAAGCACACAATTTTTTTGGGAGGGTATACAAGGCATTTCTACACTTGAAACCTCTGTACGGAGTACAGTAATAAAAGGACAGTTATCATAAAGATGTATAAATGATTTTCATGGAGGATTTTCACTGAACTGTAAACTAAGCAGTCAGTGCTGTGGCCGGGTTCACAGTGTAAGCATTTTCCAAAATAAAGTAAGTCTGAATTAAGCCGTAGCCCAGGTTTTTCTAAATACTTGCAGCGCCACAACATTTTCACCAGCGGCAGATTAACCAGTGAGCGGATAATGCTGTAGTGACATTGTATGCAAAGGATAAAATTAGACTGAATTCACTGCAGGTTCAAGGTGAATAAAATTTGATGTTATTCCCTGGTGAGGGTTTTCATTTTTGTGTTCTTCACAAGGTGCCTACACATTTATCTTTCCAGTGACTCTTTCTTTGCATATTTTCTTTAATCCCCCTGCTGATACAAGTGCTCATGTCCCAGAGGCTCCTCATAGCCTCCTCTGTGGGCATCAATCTTACTGTGTACAACTTCAGGGCTTGCTTTTGCCTCAGCTCATTTTCCACCAGAAACTGACTTTTCATAACTGCTCCACTAAAAAGTTGCACCAATATAAACTTATATATATTTTTAGGAAATTTCTCCAGCTGTCATGACATAGATAATGGCTACAGCTCTCTCTGCACTCAAGAGAGAATTTCCTTATACGTGATCATTTTGGTTTAGGTCATGCATGGTATTTCTTTTTTTTTTTTATTATTTTTAATGATCATTTGTATTTGTGCTGGCATTTATGTCTCCCACACATCTCCATCAAAGACACCCCTATCATTGCAGTGATTATGAGCTGCAGCAATCTAATATACATAAAGAAACAACATTGTGTCAGTATCTAATTAAACTGTTTAACAAGGGTAACGAGTGCATATATAGTCCAAATTAATCTAAAAAAAAAAATGATATTACTTCCAACAAGATTGCAAAAACAATTAACACCTTATACCAAATGGAAATGGCCCCATAAAGACGGTAATACCTTGCAACAAATACCCTAGAGGTAGCGCAAAGGAGAGTCAAATCAAAAGAAAATCTCATTTGAAACGTCCCATGAGTTTGGCTCATTATTCTGTGCGCATAGACTTTGGCCTATGAGGGCAGCCAGTGCTGGAGCAGCCACTAACTTCCAGTTGATTAATGAGGCAACTGCAGCAGGGAGGTAGAGGAAGCACAAGCTCCACAGAACTCCCAAGAAGCTGATGGGACAGGAGGACACCATGACTATGCGAAAGCACCCAGCGGAGTCTGCTTACTTGAGAGAGCAGCAGCAATTAAAGCAAATTAGATAAAAGCTGCAAAGGCAGAGGGTGCATGTAACTCACCAATTTGCTTCTGACGTGAATTATATGAATTATCCATCTCAAACTGCACAAGGGTGGAGATTTTTCTCTTTTTTTTTTTTTTTTTTTTACAATGCCGACTGTCAGTGGTTCAGTTATTCACTGGACAAGAAAATTGCATTTTCTTTTTCTCAGCTGTATGTTAGGTCAGCTCGGCTTTAAAAGTCCCTGCATTTTATCAAGAGAAGCATTGTGTTTTATTAATAATACAGTTCTCTGACGTAAATTTTAGGGTCATGGAAGAAGAAATCCAAAGCATGAGGGGGAGTAATAATATTCCAAGGAAAAAATTGTAAAATCTCAGCCTATTAAGTCAGACATAAAAGAGGGAAAAATCATTTCAAAGTTCGTATGAGATCACAATGACATACTGTAGGGTAAATTCAACATAAAACACACACTAACTCTCCAACTCTGTTGAATGTAATACATGTCCTTTATCACAAGGCATTCAATTTCAGCACGTGTTTGGCATTCAAGATATAAGAGGAGAATAGAGGCAAAGCAATATTGCTTGTTTCAATGTTAAATAAGTTCAGAGTTGTTGTTGTTCTCTGAAATGTATACCCTTGAATCTCCCTACAAGCTACATAAAAAAAATAAATAAATAAATAAAAATCTTCTCCTTCTTCTGGATGGCCTTAATCTGCTCTTGTAAAAGCAGATGCCAGACAGCACTAGAAGTAACCTTGAAACCACATCTCCAAAATAATAAGCTGAAAGCATGGGCTGGACTCGGAAGGCGAAGCTATGACACTTCAAGAATGCTGCCAGGACAAATTGTGCTCCACACCAAACAATGAATCAGTGCGAAGAGCCACCTGGAGTTTTTTTAGAAAGCTCATCGCAGGCGTGTTTTTACAGCAGACAGTGATATCCAGGGCAGCCCGAGGAGTATCCAGGTCTCGTAACCCATTTGTGTGCGATACCCATTAACCTAACTGTATTTTACTGGAGCAAATGAGACTCATTACCTAAATAATGGGTGAGGCGATAAGTGTCTCATAAACTAGCTCACCAGATCACTACACAAGCCTTCGGTAACTTTGTCTAAATCACAAGGGTAAAGGAAGGCAGTTTGGTTGCCGATGAAAAATATCTTACTGAAGTGGATATTATTAGCTGAGCACGCCACCAAAGCCACGAGCACGTCACACACTGATTCATACAGAATTTAGTAGAAATTAGAAAAAATAGAAATCCAATGTTGAACACTGGCATAAATTATATTTTTGGATGTGCTCCATCTTCTTCGACCAGGGTACACTGAATAATGAAACATAAAATTTTTTTTAAAAATATGAAGATGAATTCTGTATTTTAATTTTGTTCTAGCAGGCTCACAGAAGGTGGCAGGTTTCAAAGGTATGATTTTATATGCTCAGCAGAAACAACATGAAATAAATAACACTTTAATTGATTGCTGTAAACCTTTTTGTTTTATCAACTGCGACATGCTCAGTTAGCCAGCTGTTTAGCCCTGGCTTTTTTTCTTTTTTTCTTTTTTTTTACAACCACATGTCACTGGTCGTAACATGAGGTATTTGATTTGAAGTGGCCGCTTCATATATTACGATGACAAATACGGCACCAAGTGGGACCGGGTTTAAAGCCCATAAGGAAATGCTGATCTTTTCATGATGTATGGCTTTTGTAGTTTCCAGCTTTGACCTTTCCGAAGATAGTTGCCCCTTTGAGGCAAATGACATGGTTCTGCATCTGGAAGTGGGATGCGACGAAAATCTCTCTCGCTGCCTTTGGTGCACAACATAAAGGGGGAAAATCTGACTGACTGACTGCATGTATGGTTCGTGTGTCGGGGATCAAAACCGTGTGATAACGTTGAAAGAACAGGTTCTCATTGTCACAGTGACAAACGATCCATCTGTACAACACCAACAACCACCCGAGCAAGAGCTACTTACCAGAGACTCCTGTGTCACAGACGCATTTGAAGGACGTAGGCAACACTCGAACGCACGTCCCATTTTCACAAACCCTTTCACAGTTTTCTTTCCCGATGACTTCGGAGCAGTTAACCCCTAAAACAAATGGAGAGGCAGTTGACTATCACCCAAAAAAAACACACAGAGAAGTAAGTAAAAAGGTATGCCTGGACTGAAGTTTGTATACACGCACAGAACTCTGGTGATATTTATTTGGATTCCTAATTGGTGAAAAATGAAAATTAAATAATTACTGTAGATACTGCTGCTGCAGAGAGTACGCTGGCAGCAAAGAGATTAAGAAAGAAGTCATTTGGAATGCAAGCCGTTTTAATATTAATTGTGTTTGCATTACGTGCTAGTGTTGGGGCTTTTGCTGAATAACATTATGTGTCCAATAAATTTATAATTAAGAAGGCGGCTTGAACTTTCTTTTATATTCTTTTAAATAATCTGAGAGTGAAATTCTGTGAAAAGCATCAATCAGATTTGACAAAATATACAAAGATGATGCGTTTCTCTGAGGAGATCGACTTCTTTGATGCGGACGAAACGCAGTACATCAAATAACATCTGATTCAACATGATTTCATTCTACAACAAAGGTAAAAACAAATCTATGAAGTGTGGTAACAGTTTTTGATCCGGTTCTAATTCAAATAAGTTAAGAGAGCTCAACAAATGGGATCAGCAGGTTTTGTCCTTACCTGTAAAATGTGGAGGACACAGACATTTATACGTTCTGTGGTTTGGATCTGTGGATCCATTGCTCAAACAGACTCCTTTGTTTTCACAAGGGTTATCCAAACAGGCATCAAACTTTTCACAAAACCTCCCAGAGTAATGGTGGTGGCATCGACAGTGGTATGCGCCCTCCCAGAGGTCTGTTTGACAAATACCGCTCCCTGAACAAAGTCGAAGCAGAGGAGAACCCTGACAAAGTTGCGTTTTAACAGACACATTCAGCCTTAAGCCAAGCTTGCACAGCTGCGGATCTCCCTCATGCAGAGCGATGAAGTAATGATGACCGGGAACGAGCCACTTGGCCTCGACTTGCGCACTTTCATTTATATTGTGGGGGAAAAGGAACTGATCTTTTATCAGTCCACTTGTGGAGCAGTTTTCAAAGTCGTATTTTGAAACGTTGAGGAGTCTGATGCCATATGACTTCAGTGTTTCATCAGCAGACATCAGCAGTTTGTCTCCGTGCTGCAGCTGAAGTGGGCATATCTGTGGGAAGTTGAAAGGGTGCCCGCTCGAGTCGTCTCCCCCCTGAGAATCCCAGCACTCCGAAACGCTTGTACAGATGTTTCCTATGAGGGTCCAATTCACTTGGACTGCGTGTTGTTTCAGGTGCCATTCGAGTGAGGCTGGCCTGTTGCAAACTGTTTGGCAGTGGATCGTGCCGAGAGCCACAAAGAAAGCAATCAAGTGATACAATGACGCTCCCATGTTTCCCCTCTCGTACTATTTAATACAAATCAGTGGGGGACTTTCAAACCCATCTTGTGTCATCTGGTGAATAAATGAGGGAAACTCCTGTCTTTCTTCATGAGATGCAGTTCCTTGTTGTTCAACAAGTCCACATGAACAATAATAACCTGCGGAAAACAAAGATTTTTTGAAGTTAATGAAAAGGAAGTTGATTCCTACAAAAACTATAATGCTTTTCTAATATAATTATATTTTTACAGCTTGAAATATGATTAAAAGTGCAACGATAGCTACAGAGCCAGCAGTGCTATCACGAAGATTTTACTTCATTGTAACACATAGACTTGTGGCTTCAGCCAGTCTAGCAGAGCTGTCATAATCATGTGCAGTGCTGCTGACCACCAAGTGTGTCACAGCAGCCTCGGCTTTCCCGAGGTTCCTACAGAGAGTGACAATGTCAGATAAAATATTCTCTCTCCCCTGCCGGTGCCTGATACCTCAGTGTCAGGCAGTGAGATGAGTTAAAGCAGACAGCATTGTCTTTTTCCCTCAGGCCCTTTTTATACGTGTGCACAAGGTAAAACAACAAAGTAGAGACGCTTCCCTGCAAGTGAAAAACTCTGCTCCTTGATCAGCTCACAAGGGCTGATATGAATAACTGCATGGTGATAAGTAATAAAACGCTGAATATGGAACACCAATATCAATAGAAGGGGGAGTGATAAAATGAATGAGATTGCAAGTACTGTCATGAGGGCTGTGTGGGCAACTAGAAGACCTCATTTACATGCGATGAGGTTGACTATTGTGCTTCACCGAAACAAAGCGGAAAGCTGTCACCTGATTTCTGGAGAAAAAAAAAAAAAAAAATTAAAATTAAAAAAAAGAACAAAAAATGTGAATTTGGTTTGTGTATGTATATATATATATATATGTTTCAGCAGGATATTCATTATTTGTTGCAGTAGAATAAGTAGCACTAATAGTTTGTCTATTTTTAATCTAACTTTATTTAAAGCTGCTCTAATCGATGTTTTTACATTAACAGTGAATCAAATTACCATCTCCAATGTGAAAAGAGTCTCTCATAGTGACTAACCAATACAAAGAATTATCCCCTCAGCTCTACAGAGTGTTTTAATGGTTCTTTTTATAAAGCTTATAAAGCAACAACTTTACTGTTTGTTGTTTACTGCCAGCTTTTCTAATAAGCATCATGTTCTGCAGGCAGCAGTTTTCAGTGAAAAACAAGGGATGCCGCCATCAAGTGTTTTTGCCACCGATACCAATCATCGTTGAGTGAGATCGCTCAATCCACGGCCAATACTGGTCATTTTTGGCATGCATCGCAGATGGCATACATTATATCAGTCTCACACAATTTGTAAAAGTTCCACACGGCCGACATGTTATTTTGTTTTGGTGCAAGGTGGGAGGCGGGACTACACTACACAGCACACCGTGCTTTTCCCCGCAGCAGACAGCAGAGTATTAACCACAGGTGATCAGTTTTAAGGTGATCGGTGACTAAAAGCATTAATTTTCGATCTAGCGATCACATATCTTTAATAAAAATCTGCCGGTCAATCGGGGTATCCTTATGAAAAACCTTTACAGACCCGCTGTATGCTACCTGCGCAATCCCAAAGGGACACAGGGGAGACATGACAGTCTGCTACGACCAACTAGGCAAGGGTCATGTTACTGACAGAGACTGCCAATGGCGTCGGCAGGCTAACTTTTGAATTGTCAGTAGCCTTGCTAGCTTCCTAGCTGACAAATTCCTAACCTCTGTACATCAGATACAAACAGGCAGCAATAGCAATGAGTGACAGACTAATAACATAAAACTTATGTGGATACAATATCTCACAACATCTTAAGTACACATAAATGTAATAATAAAACTTATAATAAACTAGAAGGGCATTCAAAGAGCGCAGACCTCCTCCATACATTATAAACAAGACTTCAGTTAAAAACAAATATATATATATATATATATATAGTTACTTATGCGGATCTGCCCCAGAATTTAATAGGTGCTCCTCTGATACATGCGCCATCCCTCCACCAAGTTCAGTGCAAATTGGTACAGTACTTTTTGAGCAATCCTGCTGACAAATAAACAGACACAGGTGAAAACATAACATCCTCGGTGGAGATAATAAAACTGCCAAGAGTCATATAAAAGATAGCATCCATGAAACAACCCAAAGCGGCACCTAAAAGCCAACTTAAAAGCAGTCAAAATCAATAGAAAAATGAATGGAGAAAATAAAGTAATAAGACTAACACCAGATTCTAATAAGCCCAAAAAACATTGTCAGCCAGAGCAGGTTCTGCAGCTATGGATAGTATACTGTAGCTGCAGTGGTGTTGAAAGACATCCGTTGCCTATCACCAGCTATGCAATTTAGGCGGGAGGTCACGACTGGTACTGCATATAGGAATTGGACTTGGAATTGGACGCTGCATAATATTACAATGCTCTTATTTTCACCTCATCTACCAACCATAACAACATCTTGGTCACCACACAGCCATCCCGTCTCACAGAGATCTGTAATCCAAAGTTGGAGCAGGGAGACAGCTGGGATAAACAGAGGACCATCTTATATCAGCACGCATGTGACAGCAAACTGGCAATGTCAACAAGCAGCATGAGTAATAGATCGATTTCCGAGGAAACAATGTGACCAGGGAAAAAAGAAATTGCAGAAGGAAGTACTGCCCTGCCAGTTTTTTGTCCCCCCCCCCCCAATTTCCACAGGAATTCGGCAATGACGCAGCAAGCATGCAAAGCTGAATTTTCACAATAACCTCTAATGCACTGCTGCTAATTTATTTACAATCCAAAATGAGATATTTAGAGGCCGTTTCGACTCTACACAGTTTGCACGATGGACGCAATTTAGACCCTAAAGCACATTAATCCTTCTTACTTGTGTGGTGCTTCAAATTCATTTAATCTCAATCCCATTCAATACTAATTCATACTATTACAGCAATCTATACTCTAGGCTTCCACTGAAACACACAGAGCAAAAGGTTTTCTGGGATATTAAGACACCTCAAAGGTTATTGATCAGTCAGGATTAAACTGCAGGCCATACAGAGAAGTGGTTCAAGTAATAAGGGCCGCGGGGTCAGAAGCAAGGTCATGTACATGGGGGGTCAACTGTTTGTCTCCCGCAGCCTCCTGCTTTCATTATCGCTCAGTTCAACCCACATTTTAGGATGCCAATCACGCAGGTGTGCAGAGGGCAACGGATCAAGGGAGGTGTGTAAATCCTTGGTTGACTGATGACTTAGAGACACCAAGAGGACACAACAAATTATCACATCAAACTGGCAGGTCGACATGTCCCTTGTTGTCTGCCATACAACACAATAGACTTCAATGGCTGAAATGCTTGGCCGATTAATCAATTAGGCAATCGAAACACAATTCATCTGGAAAATCTTTGATAATTATTTGTTTAAGTCTTTTTTTTCTTTAATGGAAATTAATTGGTTCAGTGTTTGAAGCGTGAATATTTGCTGGTTTTTCTTAGTCCACTGTGATAGTAAACTAAATATCTTTGCATTCTGAACTGGTATTCGGACCAAACTAGTGATTACAATACACCAAAGAGGAGGACGTTGTGAAGGCTACTTTTCACTATTATATGATATTTTATAGATTAAACAATTTATCAATTAATCATGAATGAGATCAGACAACTAATCAATAATTAAGGGGCTAGAATAATTCTTGTTTGCAGCCCTGTAGGCGTGCATTCAATCAAAAACGTGCCTTAGCTGGGGTATTTCACATAACAACAGAGTACAGTTTGAGTGTAATCTAGGCCAACTTGCCACCTGATGAGAAAGATTACATTTTCTTTTTTCTATACAAGTTGGCTCATTAAGCCACCAGTGCACACACAGTGATGAAGATGTTGGCTAGTGAGTGAGGCACGAATGCTAGTTACAGTATAATGGCACTTGTGCAAGAATTAGGACGCGCAGGTGTAATTCTGAAGTAAACATTGCAGGGATAAATCGCGCAAGCCTCCTTGTCTATGTTAATTTCTCATTATGATTTCCTTGATTCACAACTTCTCAGACCCTGACAGCTGCAGTGGCTGAACAGTGTTGGTGTTTACTGTTGTGCAGCACAGTGAGCGTACTGTACTGTTGTTTGCCTGCTTAGGGACTGGGGATGAGTCCTCGGAAGTTCACGTTTTAATGCATGTTCAATAAAGTAGAATGAAAATATCATTTCAAGTTGTAAGCTGCCTTCACTGATGAGATCTGCTGCTTTTTGGTCACTGCATACTCACCAAGAACATCAACAAAGAAAGGGTGTTTTACAAATGTCTTCACCTCATGGAAGCTGCGGAAATGATTAAATCAGAAGCAAAAAGCAAATCAGCGCTCCAGTTATCACCACAGATAATGAGGAATGAGGTTGATGAACTTTATGACTGCCATTACAGAGTCCTCTGTCTTTTATTTTTTTAAACTCACTAATAACTCAATAGGGCAGGAGCATCATTTGACACAAGCAAGCCAATTCTTTTCTAAAAGACCGGTCCTTTCTCTGTGAAAGAGGAAACAATCTTTGGGACAGTTATTTCACCTGAACAAGTCTCGCTGCAAAGTAAACACAGAGGATTAAAAATCAACTGGCAGGGAACTCATTTCTCTGTCCACTCACTGTTAAACAGCCTATTTCTGATAACACTGTGGTGCCGGGTTTGGTAGATGATGTCCTGTTTCAGAGAAGGTTAGATCAGAAAGAGGTTAACTGCCACCACCATTAAATCTATTGGAATAAAGACACATTTTCAAATTAAAATAGTGCATCATGGTAAATTTTCAGATTTACCATGATGCACCACAAACATTATTATTCTGTGAAAACATTATAACTCTCACATCCTGCAGCTAAACTTCAAAACCGCTAAAAATCTGTTTGTTTTTTTTTTCATTGTTTTATCACCAGCAGGAAGCCGCTGAAACACCACTGT